TTGAAAAGTAATTTGTTGAGTGCTGGTAAGTAGCAAGAAAAAGGGTATGTCATTACAATTAAGAAAGGCGCTTGTGAAATTTATGACCCTGATAGAAGAAATCCTATTGCGACTCTTCAGATGAGTTCTAACAGGTTATTTCCAATGAAATTTGAAAGCATTCAATCTTGTTTGATGGCTGAAGTAAAGGACCTCTCATGGTTGTGGCATTTTCATTATGGCCACTTAAGTTTTGGTGGACTGAGGGCTCTCAATAGAAAAACATGGTGACAGGGCTTCTGAAAATTACTGTTCCTTTCCTAGTTTGTGAAGAATGTGTTGTCAGCAAACAATATCGTTCTCAGTTTTCCAAAGAGAAGTCTTGGAGAGCAAAGGATGTGTTAGAGCTGGTGCATTTAGATATTTGTGGCCCAATAAACCTATCTTCTAATAGAGGTAAAAGATACTTAATTACCTTCATTGATGATTTTTCAAGGAAAATGTGGGTTTATTTTTTACAGGAAAAATCAGAAACTCTTACTACGTTTAAAAGTTTGAAAGCTCTTGTGAAAAATGAAGCAGGCAAGACTATTAAGTCTTTTCGAACAGATCGGGGTAGCAAGTATTGCTCAAAAGAATTTGAAGATTTTTGCATGCAACATGACATTCGAAGAGAACTTACAACTGCATATACACCACAACAAAATGGTGTATCGGAGCAGAAGAATAGAACAATTCTTAATATGGTGAGAACTCTATTAACAAGAGGAAGATTTCCAAAGACTTTTGACCGGAAGCTGTAATTTCGAGTATTCATGTTTTAAACAGAAGTCCAACTTTTGCTGTTCAAAACAAGACTTCTAAAGAGACTTGGAGTGGAAGAAGACCAGTTGTAGATCACTTTAGAATCTTTGGCTGCCTCGCTTATGCCCATCCCGGATGCGAAAAGGAAAAAATTTGATGACAAAGCTGAGAAATGCATCTTTCTTGTGTAAGTGAATCCTCCAAAACCTATAAATTATTCAACCCACTGACGAAGAAAAGAGCACCTGGGATTGGGATGGGCAGCAGTCTAAACAAGTCCTTTATGATGATGATGCTAAACAGGAGCAAGTTCCAGCAGTTGTCATGCCACAAAATTCTTCAGATACAACTCAAACAGCCACTAGAATTTCACAACCAGTTGCTTAAGTAAATGAAGAAGGAGCCCAATCGGTTGGTCGAGTTAGAAGAAGGCATGGTTGGATGGAAGACTATGAGGTAACTAGGTTAAGTAATCCAATTACTCATTTTGCTTTGTTCACAGATTGTGATCCTACAACTTTTGAGAGTGCCGTCAAAGAAGAAAAAGGCAAAAGGCAATGGATGATGAAATCAATTCAATTGAGAAGAATGACACTTGGGAGCTGTGTGATCTTCCTAAGGGCACAAAACCATTGGTGTAAAATGGGTCTTCAAGACAAAACTAAACAAAAATGGTGGTGTTGACAACTATACAGAAGTATTTTCTCCAGTTGCAAGACATGACACGATCAGATTGGTGGTTGCATTAACAGCGCAAATTTCTTAACCTATCTTCTAGTTAGATGTCAAATCAGCATTCTTGCACGGGTATTTGGAGAAGCAGGTATTTATTGAGCAACCCTGGCTATATTAAAGTTGGAAATGAGAATAAAGTTTTTAGACTGAAAAAGGCCCTTTATGGATTAAAGCAAACTCCAAGAGCTTGGTATAATCGAATTGAGACTTATTTTCTTAAGGTTGATTTTTATAAAATGTCCTTATGAGCATACAATGTTCGTTAAGATTGAAGATGGGGGGAAACTTCTCATAGTCTTCTGGTATGTTGATGACCTTATATTTACTGGAAATTGTGATACTATGTTTGGTGAATTCAAGAAGTCCATAATGAATGAATTTGAAATGTCTGATGATGGATGCATTATATTTACTTGGTTGGATGCATTATTTTCTTGGCATAGAAGTAATGTAATCAGATGATGGAAATTTTCTCTCAAAAGAAATATGTGGGAGAAATTTTGAACAGATTTCAGATGAAGGATTGTAATTCGATAAGTACTCCAATTGAATGTGGCGTGAAGCTACACAAAGATCATGATGGGAAGAAGGTTGATAGCACACTTTACAAGCAAATTGTAGGCAGTTTAATGTATTTTACTGCAACAAGGCCAGATATAATGTATTCTGTGAGTTTAATCAGCAGATATATGGAAAGTCCCACGGAGTTGCATTTGTTAGGCGCCAAGAGATTCCTTCGTTGTTTGCAAGAAACTCAAAACTTAGGGATATATTACAGGAAGGGTGAAAAACCTAACTTGGTGGGTTATACTGACAGTGATTATGCAGGAGAACAAGATGATGGAATGAGCATTTCTGGCTATGTTTTTATGCTTAGAATAGGTGCAATCTCCTGGTCGTCAAAGAAGCAACCAATTGTCACTCTATCCAGTACAGAAGCTAAATTTGTTGCAGCTACGACTTATGCTTGCCAAGCCATATGGCTGAGAAGAATACTTGAGGAGTTGCAGTTCAAGCAATATGGAGTTACTATAATGCTATGTGATAACAGCTCTACAATCAAGTTGTCAAAGAATCCAGTGCTACACGGAAGAAGCAAGCACATTGATGTGAAGCTTTACTTTTTGAAAGATCTTTGCAAAGATGGAACTGTTGATTTGATGCATTGCAAAAGTGATGATCAAGTTGCTGATATATTCACCAAGGCGCACAAGAGGGAATCGTTTGTGAAGCTCAGAGGATTACTAGGTCTCTGCACCCTAGGTTCAGTCAAGGTTGTAAACTGATGTTAGTAAACATCAGTTTAAGGGAGGGATTGTTGAAAATTTTATTTATATTATTGTTAAATTTGTTTTTCAAATGGAGTGGCCTAGAGTTTAGGGATTTGCTGTACGTTGGAGTCTTTCAGTTTTGATTTAGTCAGCAGATTTAGTGGTTTATTGGTCTAGTCTTTAGGAGTAGTTGGGTTATGAAGAAGGTGCCAGATATGGGACCCAATCTTTAGGGATTTCAGTTGTGCATTTTGCCTATTTAAAGGCTCCAAAGGTTCTGAGTAAAACACAACTTTGGCCACAGTATTACTGTTATTTTTTCTGCAAATCTCTTATCACTGTGTTGAATCTTGATAACTAATTTCTTCTTTAGTATTTGTTTATTGAATTTGTTTCACATTATAATTGATTTTGGAAATTATTTAAAATTTGAATTTTATTGAAACTACCGTAATCTGTTACGTTCCCTGGTTAGGTGGTTTTGAGATTAAGAAAATGGGAAAATTCAGATTCTGTTTGATTGCTGATGGGAATAAGAGAAGATTAAAGAAACCATAACCAAAATTTGAGATTCAAAATTCGCCTTTGATCGAACTGAAAGAGCAGTCAACTTAGCCATGGCGTGTCAATTTGCCTAAGTTCCATTGATTGTTCTGTACTTAGGTCCAATTACTATGGTAAATGGGTAATCTTAGAATTATTTGGCTTTGGTCATTTTGTGTTGTAATGAACGAACTGTCAACTCAACCAGGCATTTTGCATATTTTGAATCTGTTACTGGAATGATATAGAACAACTGTGATGCAAGGAATTCAAGGAGGAGACCGGCTTCGATAAAGACAAAGCACGACTGGCAAGAGAGGATTAGAAACTTAAGGATAGGAACAAGAGGTGCTGAGGAAACTGAGAAAACAGAAAATCCAACACTGGCCTTTGCACTTTTTGATGAGAATATATGCTTCGCAAGTGAGAGAGAAGTGAAGGTATGTATGTAAACTTTGTCGCTTGTTTGCTTGATGTTGACTGAACAAACATTAATGAGAGTGTTTGGATAGCACAAATATCTCAAATAATATTTCGCTTGCATCATAAACATATTTTTCAACCCATCTTTTTATATTTTCAATTATCTTTTTATCTCACATACATTACATCACAAAAAATGTTACAGTAATTATTCCAAATAATATTTCAAATAATACTCTATCCAAACAAATCATATTATTCCTGTAACAGCTATTATGAGACAGCTTGCCGTAGCTGTTTGAGTAAGATTTCACTTCACCACTTTTGGTGTACTTTTAGTTTTGAGTATTTTGTTTCACTGGTTTTGAAGTTTGACTTTAAGTACTACTGTATTAGGATTGTAAACTCTTGTTTGGATACATTATTTATTTTTTCAAATAATATTTTGTATACATCATAAATTCATTTTTCAACCCACTTTTTTATATTACTAATCACCTTTTTATCTCACATATATCACATCACAAAAAGTACTACAATAATTATTATGAATAATATTTCAAATAATACTCTATCCAAAAACTTCAGCAGCAGCACCTCTTATTCATACAGGTGCTTGGTCCATATATTTTGATATAGCTTACTGAGGTTGGGATGTGAATTCTTAATGTGCATGCCAAACCATGGAATATATTTTTCTTTTACACTTAAGTCCTGGACAGGACAAATATTGGACCCCCTATTATATTTGCTTCTCTGGCATTTCCTCATTTCGCATGCGAAAAGGAGGATACTCTTCCAATTTCTTGATGCAAACTTGGCAAATAGACAAACAAATGATAATGCTATTGGACCTAAAAGTGTTATAACGTTTTAATTTCTTGGGCACGTCTTATCCAGGGCTGCCAAAGAAATACAATTGATTGAAGGATCTCCAGGCTCCATCAAGAGACTCTTCACCTTTGAGAGAGAGGGCTGCGTTGAGCTTCTCAGCAATCAGCAATGAGGTCTTTCTCACTCTCGGGAAAAGGATGATAAGTTCATCAATGAGTTTGGGTCGGATGAGAAAGTAGTCTCTCTGATCAAGTCACTACTAGATGCAGGTAGATGAATGCTTGCTGATTTATCAGTATGTCTTGCCTTAGCATTTTCTAGTCTTTGTATTCAGCTTTTGCATTGCTATGTGATATGTTTTATTTCCATCATAATATTTGCAAGATACTCACAGGAGACATTTTCCTGGGAAGAAGGGTGACCTTGGCCGAGGAGAATTTATCACTGTCTCATCTCTGACTAGAGATATTCATGGTGCTCCAGCTGAAAGTTTTGTTGTTAAGCTCTCTGAAGCAATTGGAAGCTTGAAAATCCTGCGGAAAATGTCATCCTTTTGGTGTAGAGTTGCCGTTGAGGTAAGTCGACGGTATTGAACCTGAACTCAAGATATTTGGACTTGTTTTGCTGGGGAAATTTAAATTCTCTGTCTATTTCTTTTTTGGCTTTTCCTGCAACCAAGGATGTGCTCGACATGTTGCTACAGCTCCTGTCGTAGTGATACCCTCATCTAAACGCTACCACGCGAGAATGAGCAGAGCCCAAGCTTGACCTTATGTGTACATCCTGAGATGGGATTGTGTTATTGCCGACCTTTTAAGCCCTCCCTCTTGTATTGTGTGGTAAACGCTCTTTTCTCTGAAGTTGTGGCTCCTACCCGTCTGTGACTACAGTTTACTTGAATAACATGAAATAATTCTGACATTATGTTTTGTATAACGACTTTTAGTACGAGTTGAGTTTTATTACTTGGTTCAAATACTTCAATTCCTCTCGAAGATTTTCTGAAATGCCAACTTCAAATATTTTGTTTATGTGCAAGAGAGAACAGATGCTCTACAAAAGAAAAGCATATGAAACAAAATTAGGCACATTAATAACACAGTACATAGGTTAAAATTAATGGCAGTCGTAGCTCCAGCTATAAGGGATCACGACATCTCCTATCCAGTAAATACTTCCCTATCAGAATCTTAATGTATAGCAGTAGACAATAAACAACTTCAATGTTCAAGAGTGACAAATACCTACAAATAACAGCATAAAGAACTCAATACAACAAAAACCAATGCAGTTATTGTCTTTTTTTAAGCCTTATTTTTACTTAGAAAGACATCAGAAGTGTAGCCACCCTGAACCTAATGCAGATGTGAAAGAACATGTTGCTTCAACCTAATAGTTATTGGCAGATACCATTTCTGACCATTGTAATATCAATCTAGGCTCGTCCAAAAAAATTTATTGAGGGCTCCATCAACCAGAGGTTTATTTCTTAAATTTCTATACCAATCTCCATGACAAAACTTAATCAGAAAGTGTTATATGCTTAGTAAACAAAGGTTTAAGTAAACTTAAGCAATTTTTTTTACGCAAACTTGAGCAAATATGATATACTTTAGCTATTATTTTAGTTCAAATTCAATAAGGAGATGATCACACTGAAGCAGAAAAAGCCTACCTTTACAAAAGCTTTCCAGTCGCTACTTGTGGAAAAAGAACTTGGAGAATTGAACTTCTTTAAAGACAGAGAAAACACACCATGTTAAACTACTAAGAACAACTCTTTACATGATCATCAATGATTTGGTTGTGCTAGACAAATCCGAATAAAGAAGTGCTTGAAGGGCTTATTTGGTGAAACAAAGAGAATATGGATGCACCTTGAGTATGTGAGGAATATCTTTTATGGACTGCAGTGTATCATGCAAAGTGGCCAAAAGTTCTTCAGCAGAATGGAAGAATGTTATCTTGATTTGTCGAAGAATAAATCTAATATGAACTGGTATTCCACACATCCCTGAAGCCATCTTCATTGCATAGTCTCAAGGTAGGTAAACCTTCAACTCTGGGCTTAAATTCTTTAGCACCATGTCATCAAAGATTTCATTCGAATACGACCAATCTCATTTTCCATCACTTCAAATTAATAGTAACTCCAATAGCACTGTATGGTGCTGCTTCAAAATAGAAGGATACAGCTGCTTCAAAATAGAAGGATACAGCATCAAAACGCTTGTTCAGTTTCTCAATGTCCAGTATAGGCCTCAAAAACCAGTTCCTAGTAGACAATTGAGTTAATAGGTCAGAGGATTGAGGTAGCACTAATAGACCAATACTAACAATGTCGATTCTTGATTGTCAACTAACCTCAAAAGACGTCCGCCCATTGGTGTTACACACTGGCACAGTCAGAAATTATCTATCCAATCAGCAATTGCAAATTAAGACTAGAACAGGCTATTAAAACCTAACAGCAGCTTCTGACCTTATTCATCATTACAAATAAAGAGAACCTGCACTTAAGGGTATTATTTTATTTCCAAGTTAATAAACTAAGAACCCAAGAGTGGTTCGTCATTTACCCTTCTTTTGCCCTGCCAATCCCCATGTGGCTCGGATGTTTGTCAATTTGGAATATTTGTAATGCCTCATGTGCAGCCGAGTCAACTTTGAGAAACTTGTTTCTGCATTTTTTGTTAATTAGAGCATTGCACTGAACTTTTGGACAAAATATAACAAGAAAATAGGATCATATGAACCAAAAAATGGAGAACTTAATATTCAAGTTTGTTAAGATGCAGTAAGATTTCAATGACCGAGTCAACATCAATGGATGCACTTCCACACTCCTTCTGTTCAAGGGTGTCTATAATCCTTTCATTCTCTAGAACCGCAAGAAGCCCTCCAGTTGCACGAACTTGGACCTCACTTTGAATGTCCATCATGGAGTTCAGCTGAAATTATGAAAAGAAACAGGTTAGATGCGATGCGAGTGATTGCATACAGTTGATCTTTCATTTCCAGTAGACATTGGCGAATACATGGGAACATGAGTTCTCTCCCTTAACCACCAAACTAGTTCTTTCTCAACTTCGCAGATTTTAAAAAATCTTTTCTTGTAGAAAGCACGAGGAAAGAGCAACAAACATCTTTTTGAATGAAAAGCCTGTGGAGTAGCCTATAGTATTGAACAGTCAATTTGAGCTAAACAAAAGTGCTTATAATAAGAGGCATGACAAATCAATCTAACACCGAATCAAGAAATTATCTGTACTTACAAAAGACATTCTTTCCCTTATGTTCAACCATCATCCATCCCTGTGACCCGAAGGTACATTAATCAGGGCAAGAACAGAAAAACAAACAAGAATATATGTGTAAAGTTCTCTGTGAGAACAAAGCTAATGAACTATTTGATGACAGCATCACCAGAAGAACTCATGAAAGAAACGCACAAATGAACTTGGAAGTTCAGGATTGCTTCAAATGAAATCATAGACACACTCTGCCACATTGATTCTGCATCATAGCAGCCCAACAAGAAACCGAAAAAAGTAGCAATCTGCTAATTCCTTATTTTCTCATGTTCGTGAAGTACTTTAGTGGCCAACGAATGGTTATAAGGAACACATATCCCCATTTTACGGAAAAAAGAAAGTCGCAAACATTCAAATACTGCAATGAAACAGTAAGCAAGGACAATGTACTGGTGAAAGAGAGAATAAGGTGAAGTATAGGGCCGTTTCAAGTTATATAACTTATATTCACTTCGGTGGAAATTCACTTTATTTTTTAGACTGAACAGAACTATGCAAGGGGATGTACTAATGCAACATCCTATTGTATCTTCCATACCCATGCCATGCTTGCTCGTAGCTGAATAATGAACTCTTGATAAGCTTTACAGTAGCTGCATTACTTGTTCCATCTGCAATATTTAAACACGTCACAGTGATTTGACATGCAGGAAATTTTTGTTAGCCACTTTAACAGTGAGAATAGCTCCTCACTTTTTGTGCTTGTGTGAATGACGGATGGTTTGGCTTGATAAATTACTGAAGTAGAGTAAAAGGAAAGGATTTATAAGATGCATGAAGAAGAAACAAAACATCCCAAGCCAATTTGTCCTTTTCTCAAATTTCAGATGGGATCTCCAAAACCAAACTATCGTTAAATCAAAAGACACTTAGGAATGTTACCATTAAATCCCATTCGGAAAACCATAAAGCTGGAAAAATCAAATTTATGCTTTACTGGCGGAAAAATCAAATTTACCCAGGGAATAAATCCCAGATTAGCATCCTCTTTTTTCCTTCATCTTCATGTTGAATTTTACATCTAGGTCGTGTAAATTTCAGCAGAGATTAAGGTTCTTGCTTAAAAAGAGGATTGGGGTGTTGATGGTTGTGGATGGCATCAGGTTGTCGAAAAGACCTATGTTTTCAGAACCGGACCGGATATCGACTCGGCCGAGATCAGGGGTCAGGGGTCAATGGGTTCGACCGGGGGTCGATAGGGGTCGAACCGGATGACGTCATAAATAAAAATTATTTAAAAATTAAAATATTATATATAAAATATCTAATAATATGTTAATATTAATAAATGTATATTCATATATATTTGATGTTTCAAATATATTTAACAAAAAAATACAAAGAAATTAGAACAATCAAGTAGCAGTTTATGTTATTTAATAAATATTAACAAGTTTAGAATTAAAATTATGAATTTAATTGAAAAATAACATCAAATTTTAGGACAATATTTATAAAGTATGAAATATTTGAGATATATTAATAAGTTTTAACAATTTAGGGGGCCAAAACATAATATTGAAAAGATTGAGTTTTTTTTTAAAAAAAATGCCCATTGAACCGGAAAACCGATTTTTTTCGATCAAACCGGTCAAATTCGGTTTTTGACCAACTTTGACCGGGCTTTAAATTTTCGATTTTTTACCATGACTCGGATCGAACACTTGGCTGGTTCCCGATTCGACCGGCCGATCCGGTCCGAGTTTCAAACAGAGGAAAAGACTTGTTTATTAACTTTGAAATCGGGGCATAGGAATGGTCAGTGATGTGTGCTCCTTAGTGGGCCTATGTTGTGAAAACCAAACTGGATCCATCGACATTTTTTATTAGCTGAGGTATTGTATTTTTTAATTTTAGAATGCCAGACAATAATGACTTAAATCATTTTTTTTTAAGTACAATTGACAGGGTTATTTGGTATTTAGTATTTACAGTTACCTGTGGAAGTCGAAATAAAAAATGGGTGGTGAATTTAATTCCTTTTATTTCACTACATTATTCGGCGGGCATGGGATGGACCGCTTCCTAACAGCAATCAATCAAATAAGGACCATGTTTTTTAATGTGGTACAGGCAGGGTAGGATGGAGGGTCGCCAAATTAAATCCATTTTTAGATGCAATTTGCTGTGTAAAAGGAACAGAACTCCAAATCCACTTCCTTATTGGAAGAAAGAAGTCCTAAAGGACCAGGACTCGGTCGTGGTCATGGACCCTATATAAAGAACATGACCTACATCGTTTTCACTTCAGCACAGAGAGAGAAACACTAGTCTAGAATTGAACATGGCGGAGGTAATAAAAAGCAGACCAATCCACTGTTGTACACCCCCTCCGAGCCTATACCCCTGGCTTGTTTTCTTTCATGGCAAAAATATGGAAAACCAAACCTTTTATTGCCAGTCTCAGCCCAGTACTAAAACTGTTAGATCAATTCCTGAGTTGCAGAACATAAGATCTTGGCTGTCAGCCCACGACTGGTTAGTTTTGTCAGAAAAAACTTAGTTTCATCTTTGGAATCCAAAATCTTTGGAATCAATTTATCTCCCTCCTTTGAACCTGCAACCTAGACAACGTTTGGAAGGTATCCTATTACCATCGTTTCCTGCAAATCCCGAAGCATTCTCTTGTTATTTTTGGCTAATCCTTAGAGCATTACGTTCTGTTACATCAAAGACCAAAGGTGGACTATAAGAAGCTGCAGCAAAGAAGAGATCAAGATTATAAGCGGGACCGACCATGGTTGGCATCATTTTTGTTTGCCAATTGTCTGCAATGGTAGAATATATGCTACTACCTATTGCAGACATCGTCTGGCAGAGATTGAGATTGTCAAACAAAGGCTTGTTATAAGATCTCTTCACTGTCAGCTACCTCTTTTCAATCCGTATGCGATCACGTAAAAATGTACTTGGTGGAATCCGATGGGGATCTCTTTGTGATAAATTTTGAGATACACTCCAGGGAAGCAATGAATATTGATGTTTTCAAATTGGACTTCCCAACTAAGATATGGAACAGAGTGGACAGCTACCCAAATAGAGCTTTTTCTTGAGCAATTGTGAAGCAATTTCATGCCAAATTATGACAATTGATATAGAACGAATAGGAAATCGGGTTTACTTCACATGTTACCAAGACAAGTCCCTGTACTCCTACCACATTGAAGACAAAACTATCTCAACGTCTTCACCTTGTCCAGATCTGTCGACACCCTAGAGCACACCAAATTGGGTGTTGCCTAACCCTGAGGGGACCGAGTACCATCATCATCTAGGTGGAGATCAAAAAGAGGATGGAAAGGAGGATATACAAGTCGGAGCAAAAGGACATTGTGAAACTCAGGAGAAACTTAAGGAAGCAAATTGAACAAGTTTGAACGGAAGGATCAGAAAATGGATCAGACAATGGATGAGGAAGAGGAAGGAAGCTCAGACAAATTAGACAATGGATGAGGAAGGAATAGGAGTGCGAGTTGAACCACACTTGAAGAGAAGGAAATGGGTGTTGTGCGGATAGCCTGGCAGGCCACTTGATGTTGTTAAGAAGTGCTTAAATGATGATCTAAGGGGAGTTGCGTTCCACGTTTAGTCGCTGTGTAAATGGCTTGATGGCCTCCATTGCACCAAAAAAAAAGAAAAAAAGAAAGTTTGAATGATCTTGGTGGTGATTAAGTATTGGCTAAACTCAATCACAAGTGAACAAGTGATAACTGTGCATGGCTGTAAATCTTTTTTAAATTCAAAAAATTTTGACCTTAACTTTTAAGTTCTTTATTTTCTCTTTTAAATCGAGATTCGCCTTAGTTCAAAAAAAAAAATCTATCCGAGATCCAAAAAGGGAGTTTTACTTCCATAAAATTATTTTTCAGTGATTAACTAGAAACTTGTCAACTATAAATATGTTAACTAAGTTTAATATGTACTTTAGTCCCAAGATGTAAAATATTGTATGTTGCAATGCAATAACTCCAAACACTAACGAACTGCTGCCAAAGCCCAAAGGCAAAAATAACCCAAATAAATCGTACTAAAACTATACATTAGCATTGTGACAAGTAATA